ACCACTGCACCAATCTATCTTGTCAAGGGTCTTCGCCTTTTTGCTGCTCTTTTCCAGGAACTGGTCTCTCTTGACAACGTGTCCAAAGTACTTGAGAGAAAGTCTTGCCATCCTTGCTTCTAAGGAGCATTCTGGCTGTACTTATTCCAAGAGAGATTTGTGTGTTCTTTTGGCGGTTCATGGTACTTTCAATATTCTTCTCCAGCTCTATAATTCAAGTGCATCAATTCTTCTTCAGTCTTTTTTATTCAATGTTGAATATTTATGTGCATATGATGTAATTGAAAACACCATGGCTTGGGTCAGGTTCACCTTAGTCCTTAAAGTAATCTACTTACATTTAAACACTTTCAGGAGGTCTTGTGCAGCAGATTTACTGAATGCAGTCCATCATTTGACCTCTTGATGGCAGCTTCCAAGAGCACTGATTATGGGTTCATTTTCTATTTTGGTTCCTTTTATTTTTCATTTTCTTTTTCTTTTTTTTGCTGTTTTTCTATTCAGTGAAAATAGGTCACCTGAGTTCTCAGAAGATAGGTTCTAGTTATCTGCTCTGAGAATTTAAATTCTATCCAAGGAAATCAATGGGCTAGTTTTAGTTGAGGCAGATTTTTTAAATTTGTTTTTTAAATTATTTTTAAAGACCTATAGATTCTAGGCATTCTGATTTTCTCTAAACTGGTCTTGCAAGGAGCCCTGGGGGAGTAGTGAGTTATATGCATTTAACTGCTAACTGCAAGGTTGGTTGTTCAAACTCGTCAGAAAGGTGAGGCTCTCTACGCTTTAATAACAGCTCTGGGTCAGATTCCACTGGAGGCCACTAGATTTGTTTTCATTCTGGTTTTTTTTTTTTTTTTTTGGTCCTCTGGCAGAAGTTAGGGCAGAAAAGATGAAGTCAATACATGTGGGAATTGGATTACAAAGTAAACCTCACTGCTGTTAGTTGCTTTGGGGTGTCATCAAGCCAGGTCCGAACTCATAGCGACCCGCTTACGACAGAAGTCAACACTTCCCAGTCCTGGACTGTCCTCACAATTGTTCTTAAGTTGAGCCCATTGTTGCAGCCACTGGGTCAATCCATCTGGCTAGGGCCTTCCTCAATTTCACGGCCCCTCACTTCACCAAGCATGACGTCCTGTTCCAGGGATTGCTCTCTCCCGCTAACATTTCCAAACCACAATGAGTTTTACTATTTTCAACAACAGGCGTTCAAGTAACCTTAATTGCTTCTAGTAAAATGAATGTCCAAGAAAGGGAAAGAGAAACATACATCCTAGTTTTGCTACCGACAAAGACCTACAGACGAAGACTTTCTCCTTCATACCCACATACTGCTTGTTCAGAAAGCCATTGTTTTCCAGTGAAAATAAATCTTTTGGGAGATAAAAGAGTTGGGCTGACACCCATCTCTATGCCGTGGGCGATAGGGAAGATGCTGCCACAGTTCAACGACCCCATGGGCTCACAACAGGCAAACCGCAAGTCCAGACAAAGATAAACAAAAAGTGCATGGCAGTCTAAATACAGGCTCTTTTGACTGATAACGCAGACTAACAACTGGGTGCCGGGCAGAAGGTCGCCTTCGAAGGATGAGTGGAAGTCTTAAGTGGCTGCCTCAGGTCTCTTGGGACGCATTTCCTGAACCTTCCAAACACGCAGGGTGGCCACTGGGGACCCAGGCGTGGGGCAATCCAGGGGTGAGGGCGCCCTGGAGAGTTGGAGGTGGCTCAGAGGTGACCCAGCCCCTCCCTAGAAGGAAAGGGAAGGAACAGAGGTGGAAGTGGCCACTTGTTGCACACGGTAGGCGAGAAACACTCCTGGGAAGCAGACTCCCAGGGCGGCGCAACCCCAGCCGCCCCCTCACCAGCTGCAAGCCAGGCCCGGGTAGACGCAGCCGCCCAGGACACTCCGAGTGCCGCTGGCGGTCCCGGGTCTGCCTCTGTGGTTGGGTGGTACACTCTGTTTTCCATAGCCCCTGCGCAGGAAGGCCTCCATTTTCTTAAGGTTATCCTGTTACTTATTTTCTTCCAGTATTTAAAATAGTCTGTTATCTCTTGCATACTACTTGTTTTTCGCTTCATTAGAATGTTTTGTATCTACAGTTTTCCCTTGATTTTCTTTGCGTTTGTCTTCATTGTCATTTGATGTCTCTATATCTCAATATTGTCTTATAATTTTGTTTTATTTTGAATACTATTTTTAAGTATCTTGACTTCAGGATGTTGTTGTCTTGATCTCAGGTTTATCTGCTGCCGTTATTGATTCTTTGTCCAAAGTGCTCCCCTTATCTTTTGTAATGCCAGTCTTGTTTTTATAAATTCCTGTAATTTCTCCTGGCCTGAAAATCCCCTTATTTATCTCTCATATTTGAGCGATAATTTTGCTGGATATAAAATTCTTAGTTGGCAGTATTTTTGTTTCCGTCTTTTATATATGTCATTCCACTGTCTTAATGGGTTCTGCTGAAAAGTCTGTGCTTATTCTTACTGGTTTTCCTTTGCAGGTGATTTTTTCCCCCCCTAGCTACTCTCAAAGATACTCTAATTAGGATGGATTATTATCTCATCAAAAAACCCAAGGTTTTATCTGAGGTTGGATGTGTCTAAAGATAGGGTTCTAAAGACCTCCGTATCATGTCTTTCCATCTCTTCCTCAACTTTTGCTTTATTCATAAGTTTGTTCTTCTTGTTACAGTGTCAAATGTATAAATATTCTAGTCATTATCTGAGAGGAAGAGAGACACTCTCTTCCAATATCCATACTGTATCTGGAGATAATTGGCCCAATTTGGAGTACATACGTACATACAAAGATACATACACACCCCCTAGTTTAGGGGAATCTGATGCTCTTAAATGGTGTGCTTAAAATTTTCACCCTGCAACCAGAAAAGTCAAGCCATATGATTGGCATTCACACTGAATCATTTGAAATTTGGGTGAGGATTCATTTTCAAAAGGAAATAAAGCTAACCAAGTAAAGTAAATGATCACAATTATAAATTGCTAGGAGTATCTACATTGAGATCACCATTGTTGCTGTGGATGCACTATCTCAAGAAATCTCTGAACTTGGGAGGCTGGATTTACTTTAGCCAGCTTTGAGACTAAAAGTTAAGTCATCTGGGATGTTAGTTCTCTTGACTTCATTTTTTATTTGACTTGCTTATAGAGGCAGTTTGGTTGGTGATTAAGAGTGGGACCATCTGAGTCAGATTGCCTGGATTTCAATTTTGTCTTTACCATATTCTCACTGTAAAATTGTAGGCAAGGTGGCTCCCAATTCCTTTTTTTCTTTTTCAAGGCAAGGTCTACTAAGGAACAATATTTCTGTGCCTCTTTCATCATGTATTATATGAAGATAATAATATCTAATAAATGCATAAGGTTGTCTTGAGAATCAAGTTATTAATGTGAAATTTTTGACACAGTATCTAGAACTCATTTCAAATACTATTGCTGCTGTTGTTTCCACTTCTGCAGTTTTGATGCTCCTATTTCATCAGGAATGGGAGAGCGTAGGCTGGTTAGGAGACTATTAAAAACCACTCGAATTTGGTTCTTGAATGGAGAGATTGAAGTCAAATTGAAGGAAACACTGCACTTTAATAGAAACACGTAACTACTGGTTTATTGTTACATGCTGTTGTGTTGGTTCCAATGTACAGTGACCCTGTATACAACCCAGTGAAACACTGCCTGATCCTGTACAATCTTTCCTGTATTTGAACTCATTGTTGCTGTATCTTTTTGAGAATCTTCCTTGATTTCACTAACTCTCTACCAAGCATGACCTCTTTCTCCAGAGATGAATCCTTCTTGATAATATGCCCAAAGCACGTGAAATGAAGGATCACTATTTCCAAGTCAAGTTTGTTCTTTCTTCTGGCAGTCCATGCTACATTTAATACTCTACCCTAACATCATAATTCAGAGGATTAATTTTCCAGTCTTCCTTGTTCATTATCCAACTTTCACATGCATATGAGGAAATGGAAATACCATGGCCTGAGGTAGGCATAACAGTCTTCAAAGTAACCTCATTGCTTTTAGAACACTTTAAGGGGAACTTTTCTTTTTAAATCATTTTATTGGGGGCTCATACAACTCTTAACACAATCCATACATACATCAATTGTGTAAAGCACATTTGTACATTCATTGCCCTCATCAGTCTCAAAACATTTGCTCTCCACTTAAGCCCCTGGCATCGGCTCCTCATTTTTCCCCCTCCCTCCCTGCTACCCCCTCCCTCATGAGCCCTTGATAATTTACAAATTATTATTTTGTCATATCTTACACTGTCTGACATCTCTAAGGGGAACTTTTGCAGTAGATTTGCTTATATTTTTATAATTCACTAACTAAATAGTGTACTTACTGGCTCTTACTTGCTGAATGATTGTAGACAATCTCTCTAAGCTTCTTTTTCCTCTTTCCTCTTTTTTGATAGGCTGATTTCTTCCATCTTCATGATTCTTGATCCAGAGTTAAAGTAAACAATGTCAAGAAAGTTTTTTATGTCTTGTGCTTGTGTGTGTAACAGAAAAGAGAAAGAAAATGTTTATATTATAATAAACCAAAAAATTTAGTTATCAAAAATACTATTTGGAATATTTGTTTTATTTTTTAAAAAAGAAATTACATTCACTTTCACACTCTACTCTCAAAATTTTTTCTAAGTATCTCTTAAATCTATTTCACATCATTTTTGGATTTTTCAAGAAAAGTTTTTTAGGCAAGCTTCTAGGTGTCAAGAAACAAGCGTTGCATAATCCCACTACTTAACTTTGCAGCATTACCTTAGACAACACTCCCTCTTCAGTGCCTCCTAGGGCTCATCTGTCAAATGAGGCATTTCTTCTTTTTTACTTTTAATTCCTGCCAGTGTATGATAGTGACTGTCACAGTGTAGGTTGTCACGATAATAGCTGAATTCTAAAAGGAGAACTTTGTATCACCATTTCCATTGAAACATATTTTTCATCTCTCACCCTGCAGGATTTCGACTGAATGCGTCCTCTTGGCCTATGTTTCTTTTGAAGACATTAAATGGAGCAGAGATGGCTCCTATCAGGATTTTCCACAAGGTAAGATTCGTTATAGTTGAAAGAATCTAACTATCACCAGCTTTAAACTGCTTATAGTCAAATACTCTCAGTTAGTAAGCTTTTAGTTTATATTTATTGCTTGAGGGTGCTTTCTCAGAAACTAGGTGGCTTTTTTTTTTTACAAAAGACTTTTGTGAAATAGCTGTTTATCTATAAAGGACTAGTATTAGACTTTAAGTTAGGATTCCTAGTTTCTGGGACCTTACTCTATTTATAATAAACAATGTTCACTTGGGGCAAACTGTTAAATGTCTTTTGATCTCATACAAATGGGATATTGTTTGCTTTACAGGGTGATTATGAAGTTAAACTTTGTTAATAGGACATATAAAATATAATTAAAGCTAAAAAAGCTATTCTAGATTATGGAGTTTTCTATAGTTTATACTAGGAGCCTGATGATGAAGTGGATTACAGGTTGTGCTGCCAACTACAAGGTCAGCATTTCAAAATTACCAGCTCCTCCATGGGAGAAAGATGAGGCTTTCAACTCCCGTAAAGATTCATAGTTTTAGAAACCCATACAAGAAAGTTTTTTAAAAATTTCCAGACAGAAGCCAAAAATGAAGAAAGAGAACTATAATGTTAAATGGTGTGCATAGACCCACAGCTGTCTTGGCGACTTAGCCAGTCTTATTCTCCAGAGATCTTGTTTTTTAACTGCATACAGTTGGACAACAGATTAGATCTAGAGTCCAGGCAAGGCAGAAATATAAACTTGAGATTGGCACATAAAAAATAGATCATATCCCTCAAAACTATACCCCTTAATGAGAAGATTGTTATAATGATGACAAAGAATTTTTTGCCTGAGCTTTGGGAATGGAGTCATCTCTTCTGATACCACAAAATCTTGTAAGCCTTGGGTTTAGAGATCGTGCATGTATTGTCTAGGAATCCCAAAGATTTATTTCCTAGTACCTATAGAAATTAAACCATCAAAATGGATATACTTTCAGCCAAGGTTGAATCTAAATTCCCCCAGCAAGGTACCACTGAAGATTAGCTCTCCATCCATTAAGTACAAAACCCTTAAAAAAAAAACCAAAACAGTCTAACATGATAAAGAATTAGTAGACTTAGTAAACAGTAAAGTTATAGCTTCAAGGACTTTGAGATAATATAAATATTTACTAGAGATTATAAATAAAGTATTTGAAAATTACTAAGGAAATAAGGGGATTTTAAGAAAATAAAGGTGCTATATTTTAAAAGATATGAAAAAGAAGCTAATAGAATTTCTAGAAATGAAGCTATCATTGAAATAAAAAATAAACAGCTTAGTCAAATATAAAGAATTATCAAACGTAAGACTTGTGTAAGGAAATTACCAAGAATGGTCCACAGAGAGGAAAAGAAATGGAAAATGTTAAAGATAAGGTGAAAAACAAGGTGAATATTACCCAATATTTGCTGAATGGAAAATCCAAGAAGGTAAATTAGAAAGACTAGAGAAAGGGAATATTTTTTAAATAGTGACTGTGACTATTCCAGTGTGTCTATTAAAGATGAAAGACACCTTAAACATCACTGTGTAGCTATAGAAAACTAAGGGCAGAAGAGGAGATCTGAACAAGCTATGAAATAGAATTCTCTAAAGGTTTCATTTAGGCGAGCAGTCAAATTCTTGACAGCAGCAGTACACACCAAAAGATAATGGATTGAGTTCTTTGAAAGTACTGAAAACACAATTGTTCACTCAGAATTCTTTATATGGACATAATATTTAAAAATGAAAGTAAAATCAAGATATTTTCAAACAAAGCTTTTGAGTGGTTATAAACATTCAGCGAAAGAATAACTTGAGTACATTTCAGGAATAAGATATTGAAACTAGAAAATAAGATTGAGATGCAAGATGTTGTAAATGTGAGGAAAGATTATTTTAACATACGAGTAAAGCTAATACAGCATTGTCTTTAAGTATGTAAACCAATGATAATGACAAAGTGAATAATTGGCAGGATAACAGTGTGAAACTCAATTACTGAATACTTATATACCTTAAGAATGAGTTACAATATTCAAAGGTTTTTGTGTTTTTGAGATCAGAAAAAATTAAGAACTTTAGATTTTGTTAAGTATGAAGCTAAAATCTTCAGAGAACTTACTGAATGACTGTAACTGTAGTAGTTAACTTGTGAATCTATGAAGTGGTAAAAGGGAAGAAAATTCAGTTGATTGAGAAGGAGATAAAGAAGCATGAAAAATCAGGTTAAATAGAAATGTAGACAGTAAGATAACTATAATCTAAATATACCATTTAGCATAAAAAATGAACTTAAACTCATGAATTCAGTTAGATATCGATTTGTTTTTGTTTTTTAGAGCTAACTGTATGCTGTTTACAAAATACTCTGCTAAAGTAATATGGCACAAACATGTTGAAAGGAAAACAATATAAAACATAAACCAGGCTAACTTTTATCAAAACAAAGTTGGTGCTACAAATACCAAAACCAGACAATGGAGACTTGAATGCTAAAAAGCATTAAAGAGGTAGTTTCTGAATAATAAATTACAGTTCATCAAAAAGATAAACGTATATACTTGAGTATAAGTCAAGTTTTTCAGCACATTCTTAATGCAGTTTTAGTGGTAAAATTAGGTGCCTCAGCTGATATTTGATTCGGCTTATACTTGAGTATATACAGTACGGTATTTTATGCAAACAAGGAACAACTTTTTTTTGCAAACTGCTCAATTCCCATGTGCCTTAAATATGAAAATATGGTACTTATTAATGTATATAGTCCTAAAAAATATAGCCTCAAAGTATATACACCAAGTTTGACAGCATTCATAGAAAAAAAATGAAAACTCTACAATTGCTAGGGAAATTTTTGATACACATCTCTCAATAATTGATAAAGGGAGCAGACAAAAGATTAATGCTTCAATTCGCATAAGCAAATCAATCAGTATCCAATCAATTGATTTCTTTGTAAAAATAAACTATTTTCTTTATTAATATATTATTTGAAAATGAAATTTTTAAATGACCCAATTTATAATAGCAATAAAATAATGTAGCCAAAAGAAATGTTACTTAGTATGAGATATTTGTAGAGGAATTAAAATATACATATTAAAGAATAAATGTACATTTAAGAAAACAACAAATGAAAAAGGCTATGATATTCTTGTACGAAAAGGTTCAATATCATGCAAAGGTTAATTTTTCGTAAGTTAACCTATAAATACATTGCATTTTCATCCAAAATCCTAATGGGGCTTTTTGGCCGAACTTGAAAAGCTGATTTTAAAATTCATTTGAAATATCAAGGAGAAAGAATAGCCAAAACAATATTGAAGAATGACAAATTACGGATACGTTTTATGCCAGGTACACATTTAATAAGACTTTGTTGTTGATGCACGATTAGATAGTAAAACCAAAGGATTAGACTAGTGAGTGGGAGGTATACTTGAACACTTGCTCTATTGAAAGTCAGCATCCAGGAATTCTCCAGATGAGAATTGCAGATGAGAGTGTCCCATCACTTTTAGGACAGTTTAACAGTATTTAGGAAGGCCAAAAATGCAGCTATCTATCCTTGCTGTAGAGTCGATTCCAACTCATAGGGGCCTTATAGTTCAGAGGAGAACTGCCTCATAGAGTCCTTAGACGGTAATCTTCCTAGGAGCAGATCACACGCACTTTTCTCTCACAGAGCTGCTCACTCATCTCACTGCCATCAAGTCAAGACGGACTCACAGTGGCCCTATAGAACGAGGTAGAACCGCCCTGTGAGTTTCTGAGTAACTCTTTACAGGGTAGAACGCCCCGTCTGCAGCTAGCAGCTTAATGCATAACCACTACACCACCAGGGTGCATTCAAATTACCAACCTTTTGGTTAGCCACTAAGCACTTAACCACTGTGCCGCCAGGGGTCCTTATATATTTCTCCTAAAACCAAAATACAAAGCCATTGTCATCGAGTTTATTCTAACTCAGCAACCCTGTAGGATGGCATAGAATTGCTTCGTAAGGTTTCCAAGGCTGTATCTTTACGGAAGCTGATAGCCACATCTTCCTCCTACAAAGTGACAGGTGAATTCAAGTCACTGATGTGTTGGTTAGCAGTCAGTGCTTAACCACTGTACTAGCAGGACTCCTATCCATCCTACAGCCCAGGAATCCTACTTCTATACTATATGCATCATCAATGTTCCACCCCTAGGGGGCACTGGGGGTATCCCACAGGGCTGTCAAAGCAGATATGTCTACATTTTATCCTGGATTGTGGGCTATAATACAAAAGTTTTTAATTGTCCTAGCGGTGTGAGTCAGTTATTTTTCTGGAAAGGGTACAGTAGAGAAAAGTATAAAGGAACAAATACAAGGATCTTAATTAAAACTTTTCTGAACTAGTGAAACTGGAAACAACTTTAAATGTCCTTCAAAAAAGTAATGAATTATGTGAATACATGTAATTCACCTGTTAAAATAAATTAGAACTAAATTCATCAATATAGGTAAATCTGAAAAATGCAATAAAAATGTTATAGAATGTTATGTAAATATGATACCATTTATATACATTTTAAAAGCAGGCAAATGGAGTCCATACTAACTCATAGGGAACCCCTGTGGGTTTCCAAGACTATAACTGTTTATGGGAGTAGAAAGCCCAGTGTGCCTGTGTGTGTGTATACACACACACAGACTAAAGTATAAAATCATACATGGGTAGTACACTGTTGTAAGTAGAAGTGAAATTGGTTGCAGGAGGAGCACGGAGGATTCAGTACTATTTGTAATCTTTTATTTCTTTCAAAAAATACACATTTGAAGCAAAGATGTCAGTGAAAATGTTAAGATTAACAAAGGAATACATTGGCATCTTTTGAAATTTATTTAAAAGAAATACTAAATTTCCATTATAAATCTTATATACCAGCCACTTTTTAATCATCTGCCTAAGATGGATGCAACCTGTGGGCATCCATAGCCTATCTATTTGTGTCTCAAGTTGTAACTTCTGTTTTTCATCTAGGAACCACCTTCTCCTTCCCACAACTTCTTCAAAATGGGAATGAAGCTAGAAGCAGTGGACAGGAAGAACCCTCATTTCATCTGCCCTGCCACGATTGGGGAGGTCCGAGGCTCAGAGGTGCTTGTCACTTTTGATGGATGGCGAGGGGCCTTTGACTACTGGTGCCGGTTCGATTCCCGGGACATCTTCCCTGTGGGCTGGTGTTCCATGACTGGAGACAACCTGCAGCCTCCTGGCACAAAAGGTAAAGGCCCCATCTGTGGAATGATAAGGGAGTCTCGTGTTCAGCATATTTACTCATTACCCTCATTAGTAGGCAGAGAGGGGCAGTAGCCAGCAATTTTTAGGCCTCTCAGGCCTAATTAAAAACTCTTAAGAATTTAGTGTCAAATGAAATGACACATAGAACTTGGAATAATGTAAAAATTCCTTGCTGTCAATATTCTAATATTCTCAAGCAACTGGCTTATCTGGTACTATGGTTCCTATCCCCTTAAGTGTTTATCTCATTCTCAAGGTAGACCTCTTCCTCAGGCTTTATTAGCTTTGTGTGTATGAGCTGGAGTAACTTTGTGTGGTAAAATGCTTAAAAAGTACTGTGGGAAATGGAAAGCATGGGCTGAGACGTGAGGTAGAAGAGAGTTAGCGTTCTAGCTCTCCCTTTTACCAGATGTGTGGCTTTGGGCAGTTAAATCATCTCATTCAATCTCAAAGTTCTTGTCTGTGAAAGAAATTCATAAAATTATTATGAGGAATAAGTGAGATTTTGTGGTTAAAGTGCTTACACATAACATCTGGCAAATAGCAAATGATATCTGTGCTTTGTCTTATTCCTGCTATTGTTATAGTTATTGTATATCCTATTATGTGTATTATTAATTTTCAATAAATGTTATATAATAGTTTTAATTATTATAATTCCATCATTAGAAGATAATCCCTACCAAAGGGGAGCATGTGTAGAAAGTACTAAAGTAGTGCCACAGACTACTTGAACAATAGATGATAGTTCTAATGATCATGATGGTGGAGATAATTCAGAAAAAAATTTTATATAGCTCTCTTTAAAAAGAAAATAGTAATAAATTTATCCTCTTTCTGTTTAAAAGTTCTAGTCAATGTGAACAAATGAATGTTGGAGGGTATCTTTGTTAACCTCTGTGGAATTCATTCATTCAGTTAGCCAAATATTTATTGAACACCTATTGTGAACAAGGCTGATGATACAACAGTGGAGAGGATGAACAATGTTACTATCATGGCACTTGTTGTAGTGGAATGTTTTTATTGTTAGCTGCTATTGAGTTGGCCTCAACTCATGAGGACCCCATGCAGAATGAAAAGAAATGCTACTGGGACCTGCATTATCCCTTTGGTTGGTTATGAATCAGGTCATTGATTTTCATTGGCGGATTTTCAGAAGTAGGCCTCTCTTCCTATACTTTCTAGGAAAGCCCACTGAATCTTGTTCCATGTAATAGTATAATAGTAACATATAAGCCTCCACTGACAGAAGGGGAATAGCTGTGTGAAGTAGCTTGTCTGGGAATCAAACTCGGGTCTCCGGCATAGAAGGCAAGAATTCTAACACTGAACCACCACTACCAGTGAACACATGCAGTAAACATCTAAATCAAGAAATAAATTCAGCTACTTCTCATTTATCAGCTGTATCATTATCTAACATTTTACATTTACAAGAGTAGCAAAAAGTCTTTTAAACGATTTTGCACAGTGGCAACAGACAACTAAGTGTAGCACTAGCTGTTAAAGTTATGTATCAGCTTGGTTGGGTGATGATTCTCAGTGGTTTGACAGTTAAGTAATCCTCCATTTTGTGGCCTGGTGTGGTCACCCTCCATATTTTCATAGCATTGATTTTTACATCATGGCCTGAGATTTGGAATCTAACCATGTTGGTCAGTGATGAGTGAGTATCCGGTAGTATAATTTGAGACATATATTTTCTAGAGATAGAGATAAGATAACTTCTCCTAAGGAAATAAAACAAGTTAGAATGATAAGATAGTAACAGTGAAGATGTGGAAGTTTAAGGGAGCTTGTGTAATAGATTTTTTGAAGTATTGCTAGTTGCCAAGCAGTTGATTCCAGCCACCCCCAGATATGTCAGCCTAGAATCATGCCCTTTTGGGCTTTTCAACGTGGTGACATTTCAGAAATAGATCACCACCCCTCTCTTCTGAGATGCCTCTGGGTGAGTTCAGACCATCATTCTTTGGGCTAATAGTACATTGCTTAATTGTTTCTTCCACCCAGGGATCCTTTATTGAGGTATAATTGACATTACCACCACCTGCCTGTCAGTTTGTCATACTGTGGTGGCTTGCATGTTGCTGTGATGCTGGAAGCTATGTCGCTGGTGTTTCAAATACCAGCAGGGTCACCCAGTATGAACAGATTTCAGCAGAACTTCCAGATGAAGAAGAAATAGGGTGTCCACTTCTGAGAAATTAGCCATTGAAAATCTTATGAATAGCAGCAAAACATTGTCAGATATTGAACATCTCCCGAATAGCAGCAGACCGTTGGCAGATATACTGCCAGAAAATGTGCCCCTCGGGGTCAGAAGGCACTCAAATTATGGCTTAGGAAGAGCTGCCTTCTTAGTCAACCATAATGATATGGATGGACTAAAACCTTCAGGACCTTCATTTGTTGACGGGACAAAACTCAAAAAGAAGAAATAGCTGCAAACATATGGAATATGAATCTAGGAAAATTGGAAATCACCAGAAATAAAATGGAATACGCAAAGATCAATTAGGCATTAGTGAAAACTGGAAAAGACTGGAATTTTCCAATTTGAATCAGAAAATCAGATGATTTACTATGCTGAGAATGACAAATTTATGAAGAATGACAATACATTTATTATCAAAAAGTACATTTCAAGATCTATCTTGAATTGCAATGTTGTCTGTGATAGGATAATAACTTGCCATATATAAGAAAATCTAGTCAATACCTATTCAAATATATGCACCAACTGTTAAAGTTACCAATGAAAAAAATTGAATTCCACAAAATCTTCAATCTGAAATTGATTAAACATGTGATCAATATTCATTGATAATTAAGGGCTCAAATAGAATGTGTTTAGAAAATAATGATAGCAACGTATGTACAAATGTGCTTGATACAATTGATGTGTCAATTGTTATAAGAGCTGTGAATTATTATAAGAGCTCTAAGAGCCCCCAATACAATGATTTTAAATAAAAAGATTCATTGATAGTTATTGGCCACTGGAATGCAAAAGTTGGAACCAAATAGGAAAGAACAGTAGTTGGAAAATAATGACATTAGTAATATGTAGATCACATGATAGAATTTTGCAAGGCCAATGACATCTTCATCGCAAGTACCTCTTTTCAACAACACAAAAGATGACTGGACACATGAACTTCTCCAGATAGAATCACAGAAATCAAATTGACTACATCTATAAGAAGAGACGATGGAAAAGTTCAATATCAGCAGCTAAAGTGAGGCCCAGGGCTGACTGTAGAACAGACCATCAATTGCTCATACGTAAATTCAGGTTGAAGCTGAAGAAAATGAAAAAAAAGTCCATGAAAGCCAGGGTGACCTTAAATATATCACACCCGAGTTTTGAGACTATCTCAAGAACAGATTTGATGGCATAAACAAATCATAAAAGACCTGATTAGCTGTGGGATGGCATCAAGGACATCATACATGAAGAAAGCAAATGTCAATAAAAAGACAGGAAAGAAAAGATCAAAATGGATGTCAGAAGAGAAGCTGAAACTTAATCATAGAGTAGCAAAGGCAAATGGAAGAAATGATGTCGTCAAAGAGAACAGAAAATTTCAAAGAGAAGCTTGAGAAAACAAAGTGCTATAATGAAACACCTAGAGAAAGAACAATCTGCAGTTTATAGAGTTAGAAAAACCCCCCAAAAAGAAGAACATGCTCAGCAGATCTAAAAGTGAAAGAACTGAAGAAAAACTGAAGCCTTGGGTTGCAATATTGGAAGATTCTATGGGCAAAATATTGAATGATACTGAATCAAAAGAAAATGGAAAGAATACAGTACCTCTATCAAAAAGAACCAGTCAACATTCAACCATTTCAATTGGTAGCATATAACCAAGAGTCAATAGTACTGAAAAAATCGCAATCTTCACTAAAGGTATTAGCAAAAAGAAAAAAAAATGACTCCAGAAATTGATGGAATACCAATTAACCTGTTTCAACAAATCCATGAAGCACTGGAGGCACTCACTTGCCTATGCCAGGAAATTTGGAAAACATCTACCTGGCCACCTGATTGGAAGAGATACATAATTGTACTCATTCCAAAGAAAGAATGTTAAAATTATAGAACAATGTCATTAATATCCCATGTAAGTAAAATTTTGCTATACATTGTCTGATAGCAGTTGCAGCAGTACATTGACAAGAAGCCTCCAGAAATTTAGGCCAGACTCAGAAGAGGAAATGGAGCAAGGTATATGATTGTTGACATCAGATGGATCCTGGCTGAAGTCAGAGGATACTAGAAAAATGTTTACTTGTGTTTTAATGGCTATGTAAAGGCATTCAACTGTGTAGATCATAACAAACATGGATAGCTATGAGAAAAATGAGAATTCCAGATCACTTCCTTGTTGTTCATATGGAACCTCTACATGGATCGAGAAGCAATTATGTTAACAGAACAAGGGAATATTGCATGGTTTAAAATCAAGAAGGATGTGTGTCAGTGTTGTATCTTCTCACCATGCGGATTCAGTATATATGCTGAGAATAAAATCACAAAAGTTGAACTATATGAAAAAGCATGCAACATCAGAATTGGAGGAAGGCTTGTTAGCAACCTTTGATATGCAGGTGGCACAAACTTGCATGCTGAAAGTAAGGAGGACCTGAGGCACTTGCTGCTGAAGATCAAGCATTATAGCCTTCAAAATGGATTACAACTCGCTTTTTCGCAACGGGTTTGCCACCAGAATATAGGTGTCGGTGAAAGCCATCGCAAAAATCTAAGCCAAAATGGGAAAGGAAAAGACCCATATCAACATCGTCGTCATTGGACACGTCGATTCTGGCAAGTCCACCACAACTGGTCACCTGATCTACAAATGTGGTGGGATCGACAAGAGAACCATCGAAAGATTCGAGAAGGAAGCTGCTGAGATGGGAAAGGGCTCCTTCAAGTCTGCCTGGGTCTTGGATAAGCTGAAAGCCGAACGGGAA